GTAATGTTATTACATGACTTTTGCTAAAATAGAACAACATGTTACAATATGATTTAGATAAGTTAAGTTTGATTCATATGTCTTAAAGGAAAAGCACATCAATGGTATAAACAACATCAAGTACAAGTCATATCTTGGTGTCTATTTATTAATGAAATAAAAAAATCGTTTATATCAAATTTACAACGTGGTTTAGTATTTCAAAAATTAAAACACTATTAGGAAACAGTTCACCAATGTTATACTCAAAATTATGCTGAAAATGATCAAATTAATACAACAAGTTGATTTACGAATAAATGACTCTACAAAAGTCCATTACCTTGTGAATGGGCTTTATCCATCTTTACCTACTGAAATCCAAAGAAATTACCAAAAAATTGCACAAGATTTTTTTTAAAAACAAATTTAGATTGCTCGAAAAACCCTACGGTATCAAGTATCATCCTTGCCTCCAGTCCTATGATTAATGATAATAATTTAATATTATCTACTTCTTTTTCATGCTCAACATCCAATGTAACATTGACAAATGATTTATACAACTTATTCTCGAAATTTCAACGATGATAATCATTATTATAAAAATCATTATATTCGTCTAATGATACTAATTCACAACGTTATTCGAATAGAATTTCTAAAACATCTTCTTATAATTTATATAAACGAAATCAACCTCCTCATTGGTCTAGTTGGCAAGTACATAATTTTAAATCATCATCAAATATTATACCAGCATTGCTTAATGATAGTAGATATCGAAATAAGAATTCTAAACGACAACTTATTTAGATCATACAGTTCGTCATTGTTGGCACTTCGGAAAGCGATAGCAATGATTGATGGTATTGACTTCACGTATTCATCTCAACATCCATCTAACGCTCGTCTTATTATTTTTTACAACATATGCTAACAACAAACAAATGAAACAAGAGTGCATCATCAGAAATTTTTTTATAGTCGATAGATTAACTTCAATTATAATTACAGGAACTGTCCATGTTGTAATTGGTATAGGTGATGCTATAACAAGTATTGCAGCATTGGCAACAAAAAAATGATGTACAAATCTTGTATTACGTATGGACTATCTCTTGAAATATGACGTAGAAATTAAACCCAAGGAAAAATTCATATTATTTAATGTTAATGGTCATAAGATTATGATACCTATGGAAAAAAAAAATAGCACCTATTGATATTCCTGTAAAATTACGAAATTCTATGAAAACACTAGATAAACAGTTAAATACAATTACTACACCATCTCAATTTACTACAACTCAACAAGAAGTTTTTAATTTGTTACATCATATTGCTGATTAAGTTCAGCATGATCCAATAAAATCATTATTATTTAAATTTCAATCTACTTATAATACAAGGAAATATAAATTTACACAAACAAAAATATTTCATGCTATTGAAACATATTCTCATATACTACCTGTTTCAGAATTCTATTTTAGTAATGCAACAACAAGTTTAGAAATGCAATTGATTATTAATAAATGAGTCGATGTTGGTCTTGTACATGAATCTCAATTAGCTGTTGCAACTTTCGCCTTATTAGTAAAGAAGAAAGATCATAGTTATCAGCATTTGTTTCTTTTACTGGATTATTAAAAATTTTCATGAATCATTTAGACATATTAGAATATTGAATTTTTTTATTTGTGCTAAATTACTGTGTGTGTATAGATGCATCGTCGTATATAACAATATTCTTGCTATACAAAATAAACTTATATTTATTATGCAACTGAAGAATAAATGTGTATCTGTTATATCGAAGCTGATTATAATTACACTCTTAATGTTATTTATCACATTTTATAATTATTTTATTATTTTATATGAAACTCGAATGATCTTATTTTATTATTTACCAATCAGATTTATCATACTTCAGATATTGTTATTTATATTTAATTATTTTTTCTACCAAATGATTTCTCGATTTCGTTTAAACTGGTGATCCATTCGGTGGAATAAATGTTGCTGATATATATTCATTAGCTATTAAACCATTCACTAAACCTATTCAACTTACATTTATTGGAGAAGCATTTCCTTTTTAAGAGTTTTTTTTCTTCACATTTTTGTTATGCAATTATATTCATTCTTTGTCCTTCATTTCTGTTACTTGTTAACTCACATTTCTTTTGTTATTTCTTTCTGCATAAGAAAAAAAGAAAACAAAAGATGAAACATAGTTTTTTATGCGCAAAAGGGGAGAATGCTATGGTCCGTGCTAAACCACAAGGTCATGCATTATCTTCTCATATACCTTTCTCTTTTCGTTCTTATACTCTATGTCTAAATAGATATGTTTATTCTCATTCGAGTGTTGTTTATGTATTTGTTTTATGTGTATTCTAAACCAAAAAATAGATAAAGTTAGATGCATCTTTAAGAGAAGAAATCATTTATGATCATATTTGACTTATCTCATCGATTTTATTGCATTGATTATTTCACGGAAAAGTCTCTTATCTCTACTTCAACTAAATATCTGATGTAATATTCTGAAACTTCGGACTTTATTTATGCTCATTCGATGTTATTCAATGAATTTAACCCATTTTCCAAACTATTAAGAATCGGAATTATAAATCTAAACAATATTTTTAATTCAGATCGTTTTTTTTAAATACATGTTATATCATCTATAATTTATCAAATGAATGTATCAAGTATACCGTAGTGTATATTATATTTGTATCGAGCTTTATAGCATAATTTATATATCTCAAGTTGAATATCGTACACTTGAAAATTTATCTGATATTGATAATTCAATTTTTGTAATAGCAAGATTTGTCTAGCAATTTTCTTTGAATATATTCAATACAAAAAATCATATTTTATTTATTGATCAAAATCTATTCGAGCTTATAATATGAATCGCAATCGTGTTGCTTATCAATTAAACTATGACTTAAACTAAACATTTTAATACTGGTCCCGATAATGATATTATTAAATATATTTCATATAAATTTTACAATCTATATTTAAACGACAAAATAATTTTATCTTTTTCCTAAATCTCTCATAAAATAATATCAGGAATTCAGTCGCCTAGTTCAACGATATTTCAATCAAATTTTTCAACGAAAAATAATTTTCAATAGTCCCTTGACGATTATAATTCAAATCTTTTCGAAATAAACTCGATAACTAGACAAGTTTCTGTTCCATAACTATTTAATAGATAAGTTTTATTCATTTCAAATTCGTATAAAATCAATCGGACAAATGATTATTGTTAAATTGACAATCAAAAATTAAAAGTAATCATAGTCGAAATTTTCTTCATCTACTATTAAAATTTGGCAAAATCATCCTCTGATAAATTTATAACAAAATAATTGGTATAATCCATATTCCAAAAGTATTGACACAAAATGTATGTTCATTTATCAGTCATATAAACGTATTTATTGAGAATTAAAAGTAGTTAAGTATAATCAAAATTTTATAGTCTTTTCTAATATTTATTTGGTCATAAACAGAAATTTAAGGATAGAAAAGTTTTTATTATCTTATGTCTTGAGACGATGTCAATATTTACTATCTATATGTTAATAAGAATATAAATTATGAAACTCATATTAAAAAAAATATTTATATTCTTTGTTTGAAATAATAAGAATGAAAATGCAATTATTTAGAAAGTGAGAATTTTGGTTTTTTTTTTTATCTATTTATTTCTATCTTTCTTCCAATATTTAATGCCAATAGAGTATCCTTTTAATAGAAGTTCGAAAAAACTCGGATCTATGCTAATGGAAAATTAGTATGTATTGTAACAAAAAAAAAACATTTTCGGCCTCTACGAATTTGAATTTTTCCTGTTGGAATCAAATTCATGATGTCTCTGATTATAGTCAGCATAAAGATCGAAACGGCGATTAGATTTAAAAATTTCTCAATACTAGAAATAGCTTCATATTTAAATGTCAATTACAGAAAATTCAAGAAGCCTTTTATTTCTTATATTGTTTTGTTTTTGAATCTGCTTTTTTGTGGAAAAATTTAGTGATTCGAGGATACATTGTAATCTAAAAATATAGCTGAATCGACATTAAACAAAGTAACTCTAAAAATTAAAAAGTTCACAGTTTATCAGTGTATGCTTAGAGTTTTTTTTCTAGAATATTTAGTGGAAAGATCAGATCATTCTTAGAAAACATTCGAAAAACCTTAGCGAACGCTGAGAATGTCTTTTTTCAAAGTGAAGCTCCAATAGTGTTTTATCTTGAGTACTTCAATTATTGTTTATTTTTTCAATAATAACCCAATAAATAGGAGTAATGATGAATGCTTGTTTTAAATCAATAACTGTTACTCATCATTGAGCTTTATCAAGCGTTGAAATTACACATCGACAATCACGATTGACATCTCTTGGTAATTAGCTCGATTTCAAAGTTGTTATTCTTTTATATAAACACGAATTGATTAAGAAAAACTTCAGAAATATTTCCTTTTCACTTCTATTTGCGATAGAGAGAAGAGGAAGTTGGCAATCGTTGAACTGCCTTGTTTCTAGATCCGCCAGCTATGTGAGTTTACTGGACTTCAAGATTAAATTGTTTGTTGTTCTTCCTTGATTTCAACGAATCTTGGAATTTAAAATCAAATTATTATTTGATTATATTACGAATAATAGCTCATGTATAAAATTTTTTTTTCTTCAATCTGAATCAGTTTTTATTTTATCTATCTGACTAATTTCTATCGGTTTTGTTCACCGCGTGAAAGAAAAGAACATGCATATAGAAGAAACAACAAACAAAGTTAAGTAAGTTCATCAAAAAAGAAAAGAAAATTTTTTTTTGAGCAATACAAGTAAAGACATAAAGATTTCTTCATAAACATACATATAAAAGAATAAGTTTTGATAGGTATAGGATTTAATTACATAGAAAATAGATCTGACAAGTCATGCAAACTTTTGAGAATTGGATATTGATGTTTGGTTTTTTTCAACGACGTGTATTCGAAAATGCTAAAGCTGAAAATACACTTGCTGAAGATTCATTTGTTTTTGTTGTAATTGTTGTTGATTGTTTAAATCTTTTAATATTAGTTTTCGGAGATTTATCAGCTGAATTTGATCGCTAAAGTTGATATGTTCAATTATATTGAATATATCAATTTTAAAAAAATTAATAAAATCCTTTACTTTTTCACCAGATGATGTTGTTGATTGAACCGGATTTTGATTTTCATTTGCACTAATTGTTGTTAAATTTGTTGAAAAAACATGTCGCCGAGGATTGTGTTGTTTTTTTGTTGTTATTGTTGTTTCATCGGTATTATTTAGATTAGCTACTGTTATATTATTTCTATTAACGGGTGCTAAAAGTGTTGTACTAAATCGTTTAGCTAATAGAACAGAACTAAGGGTGACAGAACGAGTTTGATTAGTTTTTTTCGTATTGGAATCGGTTATTGTTTGAGTAGTTGTTTCAATATGTGTTGTAGTTGTACCTAAAATTAGATTCAAATAATAATCGAACTGTATCTATGAGAATGATCGAGAAACTAATCATAAGAAAAATATTAGTTGAGTTTGAAGATAATCTGATGGTAATAATGATATTTTTTGCATTAAAACTTACTAAAACATCATATACCAAGAAAAAAGACCCATGAACATGAATTCTTTTAGACTTTCTCGATTATAAGCCTATAGTTTTAGTCAAAAAAAAAAGAAAAACAAGTAACATTTCTACACTCACAATTGATTAATTTAATCTATCTTGGTTTGTCAACATGTCAACAAAATATAAATTTAATAAATATTCGTAACTTAAGTGGTTCTCAGAAGAACTTTTCTCTATGAGTCGATAAGTTAAGGCCAAGTATAATCTAACAAATTTTTTCTATATAACGGGTGATGCAAAAGATCTGCATTAATTTTCTTTTCAGCATTGCGTGGCAACGAATCATTCTAGAGACTTGAGCTTTTTCTCGTTGGATGGAGCGGAGAGTCTATTACAAAATTGTGTAAAAATATTTGATTCAAAATATTTATCAAAAGGTAAAAAGTCTTGAGAATAAGTTGAATCGAAAAAGTGCTTTTAAAGTTAACTCAAAATTAGGGATGAGGAGTGTATTTGTTTAATTTGTTTTGCACTTGGCTTGCAATGTTTGGAGGCAGGTTATATATGAATCTGACCAATGCAATGTGGACTTTCTAATCATACAAAAACATTCGAGTTACAAAACCATAGGCTTCAACGGAATCAGTTTTATTAAAAAGTTAATTTTTCGTCTACAACGTCCAATGAAGATTTTCTCACAATGTCTAACAGAGAAACTGAGTTCTGTTGTATATAATGTGCTTTTGGAAAGGACTTAATAAACTTTATTTGTATATAAAATAGGAGGTTTCTGCTAACTTTGATGCTGAAATAGATCTTATTTTTCGAAGTCATTCATTAGTTGCGAAAAATTTGCACTAACAAAGGATATTAGAAAAATGTTGATTTCGAACTCAATCGATCGCTTGAAAACCTTCTATTTGCGCGTTTACGATGCCCGATCGTAGCGCTACACAGCCAGATAAAAGCTGGAAAAAAGACTAACTTTCTTTGTTGATGGAATTTCTTTTTCTCTATTCCGGAAGTTGAAAGAAACTTTTCCCGTTCAATGTATTCTTAAGACTTTTTAGGTTTTGGTAAACATTTTCAATCGAATATTTTTTTCACAATTTTGTATAAGACACTTCACTCTTTCCAATGAGAAAAAGCTCAAGTCTCTATAATGATTCGTTGCCGCGTTATACTGAAAAGAAAATTAATGTTGAACTTTTGCATCACCCGTTATTAAGACATTTTATGAAGTAAACAACTATTTGAATTAAAGTATATTCGATATTCTTATGAAGAAAAAATATTCACTATATTTTATTTACTATTATTCTTTTTCCAAGTCATAGTTGATGATCTATTATTAGTGATGTAACTAAATAAGGACTAGAGAGAAATCAACAGCTTACAACTATTTTTTTTCTGGCTATACTATTATTCATTAGATGTTAGTTGGTTCAAAATTCATCTAAAAATATTTGTTCTCGAATCAATTTTGATAGGAATAAGATAGAAAACTATGACTTTCATCTTTCAAAAGTGCTTGTGTCACTGTATGATTCTCTGTATAATTCAACGTTGTTGATTGATGACTGTACCGTCAGCAAAATGGACTTCAGAAAAATATGAATAGCTCTATGATCATGACACAGAAGTTTTATTCTAAGAAATGTGTTAGATCTGCATACTCATGAATTATATCCAAATCCGAAACTTTATTATAAACCATTCGAAAGTTATAGATTCCAAATTAGACAATGTGAATCATGCACATTTCTTACAATTAAACTTCTGCGTAGAATCATGCACTAACAAGATTGTCCTTTTCGAACAGTGAAAGCCACAATTCACTATTTTGTTCCTTTCAAAATTTATTCACAATTAGAGACTGTCATATGAATTTTTTTACCATACTGTATATACCCTATAATAATTTTCAGTTAACTTTGTTTTCAAATCACAGTTAAATGTTAAACGGAAAATGAAAATGTGGTATCAAGTCAAAAATTCAGGTATTTCATTTCATTGTAAAAGTAGTTTAATTATGGTAAGAAATTTCTACAACTTACTTTGAAGTTTTTTCTGTTTAAGTGCAAGACCTTTTTGAAACATAGAACTATTTTGACCGATACTATCTAAATCTTCATCAAGATGAAGTTCTTCAGCCTAAAAGAAAGATTATGTTTTTTTTTTAAATTTATTTATTTATTTATTTTTGTTGTACTTGATTATCTTGCATTGAACGTTGTCGTTCTAATTCACTCATTCGATCTTTTAAATTAATTAGATCATCGTCTTCATCATCTTCTTCGTCTTCTTCTCCTGCTTCACTATTATAATCAGGATCATTATCTTCATCCTCCTCATCATCATCTATCGGCACTGAAAAAGAAAATGAATGAAATTATTTAATGTTATTAAAAAAATTTTGTTTTTTTGTACCTTTCGAAATTTTTATTCTTCTTCCATCATCATCACCCTCAAAATCAAGGTATTGTTCTTTAAGTAATTTTAATTGTTGTTCGTCTTCTTTAGCTTTGATTTTTCTAATAAAAATTTTTTCTATAGATTAGTAATTAAGATGAAATCTATTACTTACAAATGTACTTTAGCCAAATTATCAGCTTCATCTTCATCTATTTCAATAGCTGCCGTATCAATAAACTTTTGTAATTCTTCATCTGGTTCTTCGTTTTCATCACTATCATTTTCATCATTCATATCTTTATCTTTTTCGTCAACTTCACTTCCTGAAAAAAAGAATAATAAACGATGAACTTAACTTTTAAAACAATATAAAAAGAATTTTTTCAATTTCAAACCTGATTCTTCAGCTTCCATTTCAAATAATTGTTTTTTATAATCAACTAATTCTTCATTGTCCTCTAGATCTTCATCTTCTTGTGCTTCTTCTTCGTCGTCTTCATCGCTTTCCTCGACATTATTACTTCCATTATTCAATTGTTTATTTGAACCATTTTCATCGTCATCATCATCAATCAATTGTCGAACTTTAGTACGTCGTATTTCCATATCCGGTTCTTCTTCTTCTTCGATTTGTGTTATCGGTAATGGAGAAAAAGCCATCGGTTCAACACTTTTACAATTTTGCGATGGAGGAATGCTTGAATAGAATCAAAATGTAAATAATTTTTCTGAGCAAAAACATCAACTACATACAGATTTTCTTCGCCAAATGCACCTGAACAAAGCATTTCAAGTTCAGAATCAAATTGAACTGGACGTGTAGAATTGAACCATTCCGTTCGACCATTTTGTTCTCTACATAAATAATTATCAATAAGAGTTTAGTTATTTAAACGCAAGCAAGAATTAGGACTTGATCAACTTCATGGAAAGAAGCTAGAAGACCAATATAGATCTTTTTATTTAGACGAGGATATTTTACCATAAGCAAGAAACTTCATAATGTTTGAACACTTAGTGCTGCTTCTATCAGCAAGAATGATTTCAAGTCAAATGATTATAATGTGTTTGTTTCATGAAGTTATCTGTGGATATTCATACCATAAGAGTTGATAAGATTTGTCAAAAAGTAACTTGTAGTTCTGATATTTTCTTTAGTAAGTTGTTTGCTCTAAGTGAGAATTCTTTGAAAATTTTATGATTACAGCGATTGGTGGAATAGAGATTTAGGTGAAGACTATCCTAGATAATAAAAATGTCATGGAGCTTCTGGATCACAGCAAAGACATGTGCATCTTCCTTTGTCAATGAAACCGTGCATATTAACACCTGAAAATAATGCTAAAAACAGAAAGTGTTAAAAAAACCCTCGATTGAGATTCTAGAAAAAAAAAAAACAATTTCTTTATTCTGAAATTCGATGTAATCACGCCAATCAATCTAGAGTAGATGCTTAGCATCAGAGTTTGTCGAACTCTGCTTGTGTACTATAAGATCAGAGATAATGAACGCTTTACAATTTTTTAATTTTCATGTATTCTTTCGACTGAGTTTGTTTTATGAAACGATTATTTTGTTGAATTATCGTCAAAACCGTGTTTTCTTTGAGAAAATGTAGACTTCTTTATAACGTGTCTGAAATTAAAAATACGTTAATCGAGTGGTATGTTCTTGTAGATACTTAGGATCTAATATAATACCTATACAACTCTGTTATTTCATGAAAAATACGTTAAAGTATTAGACTGAGTTTGAAAAACAATTTACTTACGCTGGTTGTATTTGTACCGATTCATCAGATGATTCCAATCGTGTAAGAATAGTCTAAATATCGATGATATAATAAAAAAATTCTCTTTTTTTCTATAATAAATTACCTTTAATGAAGGTCGATTTGGATCAACAGATGGATTAGAATTTTCTTTTTCTTCTATTACTTCTTCAATATCTTCATCATCAGCTAAACAGAATATATTAGTTCTCCTTCTTAGATTAACCTTCTCCGCACACGGGGCCTCTAGTTTGTTTGGAAAGTTATAAGTTTGAATATGAGCCTTTATTTTGATCAACTTTTTTTGTTATCATGTTACAGCTAAAATATTATTAGTGTTCAAGCACAAAAGTGCTTAATCTTGGCCTAGAGCATAAGAATCTTCCACATTTTTTTTTTGAGATACAGTTCAAATCTTATAAAAGTTATAATAATTAATATTGTACCATCTCACACTAACATTTACTTTTGAGTATAAATGAGCTCTCTCGTTATCGACATCGCTCACAATTCAACCTTTTTAGAAGTCTCATGTACTTGCATGATTTTCTTTCTTAACTGTATATAATCTCATACGAGGAAAAAAATTGAACAAAGCGATATTATATCACATGACTACTTCAAAGTCAATAGTATTTAGACACATCAGAGAATAGCTAACTGTTTACGTATCAAACTATTACTGTTATAACATGAATTATACTATACTGAACAGTCTACCAATGACTTTATGTCCTAATCGAATTACATGGGAAGCTTCAGCTAAACAGTAATCAACAATGAGTTCATCTATACAGTATTTTAAATTGTCTATTTTTATTTATATGGGATAGAGTGAACTTCTATTACATTAGGAAAACTATAAACTTAAAATTGAGCTTTTACTCTGTGCGAAGGATGAGATTGTTACTTACTTATAATATCTCTTGTCTCTTCATCAACTTGTAAATTATCCTTAATATAGAAATTTTTAAATAACTTTTTTTTCAAATTTTCAAATTTTACATTTTCTTTATCCATATTTGATATTATTTCTGAATTCGCATCGTTATTTTCATTGTGAGAATCCGTTGAATCTTCATCAACTTCTTTATCTTCTTCTTCATTATCATTATCATTATCATCATCATCATCATCTTCTTTATTTGGTATATTTGTAGGATTTTCAGCTAACATAGCTGCTCGTTTAGCTCGCATTCGAATACCAAGTTGTTTTTGCATTTCAAATAATTTTTTACTCGATGATGGAGATTTAATACAATCTAGTTATTATAAGAATAAAATAAAAATTTAAATGTAAAATTTAAATCAAATACGTTACCAAGTGAAATATTAAGTGTTGATTTAACAGTTGGACTAATATAAATAATAAAAGAAAGTTTTAAATAATGACTTTTTTTTTCCTTACTTACTGGTTTGGTGTTTTTTTTGTATCAGTTAAATCAATCATTGTATTTGATTCTTTCATTATATTTGACATTGTTGGTTTCTTTTTTAATATATCAGGATTTAAAAATCGACTAAGTTTATCTAATGTATTTGATGATTTAGATGGTTTATCATCGATTAATTTTGTTAAATCAGCAAGTGTTGACATAACTGTAGATTCAATATTAACAACTGGTAATTCAGGTAATTCAGGATCTTGTGGAGTAAATGAAGGATTTCTAAAACGATATAAAATTAAAGAAATATTTCATATTTCAAAGAAATATTTTCATTACTTTGAACGAATTTCATTCATTAATTCTTGTCGCGATCGTTTTTCTAATGCATGCCATGTTTCTAATGGCTTTGGTACAAATGTCGGTAATACCAAATGTTCAGCTTAAAAAAATATTTTACTTTCAATTTTTTTTTACTTCTAACGAGAGAAGCTCTTCAGCTTTTTGTCCTTTCGAATTTACTGATTTCCTTTAATCGATAGATATTACATAGTGTTCTGATAAAAACTCTAAAAAGAGTTTTGGTTTCTATTGAGATTTGACTAACAAGGAAAGTTCTTCAACTGTGCAATTGGTTGTGACTGAAGACTAAGGGAATTTTTACAGAATTAGTTATAAATGCTGTAATAACAAAAAAAAACTGATTTCCGAATTTCGATTTAGCTTCTATTGTGAAAATGAGAACATTAAATCTGTCACTTTACATTAGTGATGTAAAAGTCACCCTCTTCAAATATTCAGATTTTTCCATTCGTCTTTCTTCGCATAACTTTTTCTAACTAATTAATGTTGCAGTGCTATTGACGCATAACAAAAAAAACAATAAAATACTTATGAGAAGGTAGGATTTAGAAATTGACACCAAGAGAAAACAAATGGACCGTGCTTGAGCTCGATATAAGCCTGGTGAAGGCCTCTCTCTGTACAAAATATCAAGTCGAAATTTGAAAATCAGTTATTCTGTTATCATAGTATTTACTTAAAAATACTGTCAAAATACAGTAAAGTTTACAACTGTCAGAGTACTTTTGTTTTTTCTCATATAGCCTGAATTGTTACGTTTCGATCAGTTCGTTCGTTCAAAGAAGTTTATAATTAAGTTTTTATGCTCTTAACGTTTTTTCCATTTCAAAATAGAAAAAAATTTTACAAAAATTCATGTTTTTCCAGATTATTCGAAAAAGAATGGAACTTTTTTTTTTTATATGTCTTGGATCATAGATCTCATCTGTTTGAACAAACTTTTTCTAATCTTTCGATTTTGTACAACAAGAAATAAACAAAAATAAATAAGTTTTATCTTACAACGATTGAGTTGTTGCATCTTTCGTTCTGTTTCTAAAACAGCTGCTTTGGTAGGCTTTCGAGCTTTAGACTAAAACACAAAAAAAGAGATTATTCATTCAGTAAGTATATATATATTTCAATTGATTTATCTCACTTTATTATTTGTTTTTGTTTTACTTAATTGTATATCATTGTCGTCTAATGTATATAAACAAAGGTAAATTTTAACTAAGTATAAAAATCAAATATATTAATTTTACCGATTTTATTTGTAAATGAATTTCGACTATGATTACTATCGTCTTCTTGATCATAAATATCCGTTGTATCAAGATGAATTTTTGATTTTGATACACCAAGACTTTTTTTCTTTTTTTTTGGTTTTATATTTTCAATATCAATAGATTTTGAAATAATATCAAATGGATTTTCTTCATTTTGATTATTATTATTATCATCATCAATTTGTTGTTCTTGATCAGATGATGATGATAATGTTGATATATCCAAAAATGAATGACGAGCACGACTTTTAAGTTTAGTTGATGATGGAATTTTAGTACCATCAATTATACCTTCTTCATCATCGTCACTACTTTCTATAGATGCTGATAAAAATATTTTTTGAAACGATTCAATTTGTCGCCGTTCAATATCAAAACTGTCACGTTCGTCATCACTATCGTAAAACAAATTTGATGACATCTCTAAAAAAAAAAAAAAATTTCGATAATTATGATTTTTTTTTCCTTTTTAGAGAACTTTCTGAAGTTGAAAATCACTTTCAAGTTCGGATAGTGTGAATCAGATGGAAACTAATGAGGCATTATAATTTCCAGACCTTCTCAACAAAACTTTAGTCTTATAGTATGTATGAAGATTATTGCACTTACGAGCCCGATATGTAGTTAGAAAGTCGCTCGATAAAACTTTCGATGAATTTTTAATTCATAAGTAATATAACCATATTAATGAACTTCACACGAATGAGGAAAAGAAAATTCATATTCGACCTTCAATCTCAAAGCAATCATATGTTTTCTAGACAAACAGTGCCTACAATTTTGAAGGTTTCAAAAATGAAAAACCGTTTTCTTCATCCAATGAGATAAGAAGTTTTATAGTATACTTTCATTTGCTGAACATCTTCAGAAATTTTCATACAAACTCCATACAATATATCGGAAATCGATTTTTCGCAAAGGAATCAAAGCACTGATCAAAAATTTTTCATGCAATATATCATTTATTTACTGAGCTAACATGAGTGGAAAAGGTCACATTTTAGCAGTTAGTCATATTCATTTATTGACAATATAACTACTGCCATTTTTCGAAGCAATATGAGACGTACGATATCAATAGACATATAAACACCTTAACAGAAAACGAACTTGTTTATCCTGACTAGAATTATATATAGAGTTCTTTTGAAAAACTAAAAGAAAATCAAATAATAATCATTCATATCATCGATACAACATGATACAATGATCATAGTCATAGAATTGAAGTTCATTATTAATTCTCATCTAATAGTCTAGAATTCATCTCTTGATGTCATACACTTGCCATAGACGTTCCAATTCTCAACTATTAGAATATTCTATAGACTACTTTATCGATGTCGATAAAGCCATAATTTCTTCGAGATGAAAATAAGTTTGAATAAAAGATACTGAAAAGTACCCAATATGACTTTTTATTTACGTATAAACATTGTAAACCTCATATTACATCGAAGATACACTATTTTTTTTTAAATATTTTTTAGACCATCAAAAGTTTTATAATATATCAAAAATTCAGCTTGCTGTCATTTTATTTCAAAAAATAGCCATATAAATACTGTCAACAAACAAATATTATTGACTGATCAATTATAACCTTTTCGATTCATGTTGACTCAATAAAACACATGATATATAACATTATAAATAACTCATTTTCTTTTTCAGCTGTCAATAATAGAGATTTATGAGAGAACTAATCATTATTTTTCTTGATTGTAGGTAAGTACTATTAAAAAGTTGATCAAAACTAACTTTATTATAAAACATTGAAATAAACTAATAATTTTAGATGATAAATTTTCGAATGCATTTATTAAATCAAAAATTTACATATTAATCAGTGTCTCGAATACTGAAATGATTCTTATTGAAACATCTCTTAATTAATTAAAGAAAGCCTTTGAATTTGATGTATCATTTCTTAAACGGTAGTCTTTAATGCAAAAAAAAAGAGTTTTACTTTGAAAAGGACACGAACTTCATATATCATTTTATCAATATTTGAAAAACTCTTTTATATTTATTAAATTAATTAATCTATTATAAATTTTTGTTATATAAAAACAAAAAAAAACTTACGTTTGAAACAATTCAACGTTTAATTTAAAAAAAAATTTGAATAAATTTCTCCCTTTTTTTTTCTAATTGGTTAAATCTTTTTACCAATCAAACATCATCTTTCTTTCCACCAACCGTCAATTTCAATGGCTCGTTCGTGATACAAATAAACAACAACAATAATAATAATATTATAATAATAATAATTCTAATGACAATAACAACAACACCTCAATTCTACTAATAACAATGTGAATATCATTTTATTTTATTTTTTCGTTTTTTTTCTATTTATTTTAAAATAAAGAAAAAAAATCTTATTTTTTTTTCATTCTATTTCTTTATTGTTTTTTATCATTAACAAGTGCATAGATGTCTAGTGAGCTATTTTGGGCACATTTGCTAATCTTAGCTTGTCATAAATTTTCGTATTTTATACATTATATGTGGTTGTGTATGCTTGTAAAAAGGAACGTCTATTGATGAATATTTGATTTGATATCTCTTATTGATTTATTTTTTTTTTTTTTTTTTGATAAAAGCTTTGTTTTTTTTTTCTATTTTATTTTATTTTAGATTATTTTGACATAATTTCTTTTGTTGTTTGATAAAAACAAAACAAAAACAACAAAAAGAATATTTCTTCTTGACGCGCATCTCTGCGTGTATGCATGGCTCCAGATGACGAATTGTTCATTAGAAAATGTTGATAGATTAAATCGAAAAATCAAAATGCCGAAACTTTGGAGTTGTATTGCACCGAAGAATGATGAAGAGAAAAAACGCGAACAAATTAATAAACAAATTAATGCAAAATTAAAACAAGATGAAAAAATTTATAAAGCTACTTATCGTTTACTTCTCTTGGGTTTGTAGAAATTTCTTTTTTTTTTTTTCGATTATTTGTTTTTTTACTAATTAGTTTATTTTACTTTTTTTTTTAAGGCGCTGGTGAATCCGGTAAATCAACCGTTGTTAAACAAATGAAAATTTTGCATAATCCTTTTACTAAACAGTAAAATTTGATTTTATCTCTTAGTTATATTTATTATTAAGTTTTTTTTTTTTTGTTTTCTTTTGTGTAGAGAAAAAATCGATAAAATTCCTGATATTAAACGTAATGTTCGTGATTCACTTACCGTATGTTAATTTTTTTTATTTTAAATTTTTTATTTTATTAATTATTCTTTTCTTTTTTTTCAAGAGTATTTTACGTGCTATGGAAAAATTAACTCCACCTATTGCACTTGAACATCCACAAGAACAATGGCGTGCTACATATATGTTAACAACAGCACATCAATTAGATTTTGACTATCCACCAGAATTTTTTGAACATGCAGCTATACTTTGGAATGATGCAGGTGTACAAGCTTGTTATGAACGATCGAATGAATATCAACTTATCGATTGTGCTAAATAGTAATATCGGTTTTTCTTTTTGTTTTGAGGTTAAAGCGAAAAACAAAATCGTTCTATTTTTTAGTTTTCTTGATCGTGTTGATGAAGTTAAACAACCAAACTATATGCCCAGTGATCAGGTATATTGTCATTTAAGATTTAATTTTTTTTCTTTGTTTGTTTGATGATCTTCGGAAGACGTTAATTTAGAGAAATAAATTGATTGTTGTAAGAAAAAAAAAATGTAAAGATTTCGAATTTAATAATTATTAGCCTAATTATTCATGAATTAATTGAAAAAAAATAAATAGATGATTTGTTATTTTATTTCTGAAAGACGAAATTAAATGATTGATTTTAATATAGAAATAGAATGTATCCTTTTTTTTTGTTTTATTATTCTCAGATTAACAATGATGATTCATAGAAATATATGTATATAATTGTAAATAATTTCGGGAAGTATGAATGTTGAAAGACGTATATCGAACGTTCATTACTAATTTTTGAGAGAACTTTATTTTAAAAAAATTTAAATAATTTTTCTTCGTAAGGTATACATATTATCGTAGATATAAATAGTCTTAATTCGATGATACCAGCTGATTTCACATAGATCCAAGTAAGCCTTCAAGAAATATATATATATATATTAGAAAGTATATAAATAATAGTAAAATAACAAATCATAATGAATTTATTTTTATTAATAAAAAATTTCATATGTGTAGTATTAATGTTAAAATGATATTTTTTTTCTAAATTGTTCATCAATATTAATTTAAGGATGACAAATCATTGATCTATCTTATTTAGTCGACTAACATATATTTCTTATATATAGACTTGTAGTTCGATTATTGTATTTGTTACAAAGAAAATTATAATTAAATAAATTTTCTAGGATATTCTTCGTTGTCGTGTGCTTACATCTGGCATTTACGAAACTATCTTTACTGTTGAACGCGTGCGCTTCCAGTATGTATCATTATGCTCTTTTGTTTTGTTTTGCAAAAATAAAACTAATATGTATATATATATATAGTATGTTTGATGTGGGCGGACAACGTGAAGAACGACGAAAATGGATACAATGTTTTAATGATGTTACTGCAATTATATTTGTCACAGCATGTGACAGTTTTAATATGATGCTTTTTGAAGATGAAGGAGAAAATCGACTAAGAGAATCACTTGAACTTTTTAAAAATATATGGAATAATCGGTAAACATTATTTAAACGAAAAAAGAAAAGAGAATTCTATTAAAATTAAAATAATATTTATTTTGTTTTTTTTTTTTGTAATTAGATGGCTACGGACAATATCTGTTATATTATTTCTTAATAAACAAGATCTTTTAGCTGAAAAAATCAAAAATGGTCGTCGACTTGAAGATTATTTTCCTGAATTTGCTCGATATGTTGTTTCACAAGGCGAGCCAGGTAAATTAAAATAAATTAAAAAATAAAATAAAAAATAAAACAAGAAACAAAAATTTCTTTTTTTTCTTTTTCATTTCTTTTATTTTAATAGAACTCTCTGTACAAAAATACAGTAAGAATACATAAAAGATATTTATTGTTTTGTTGTTATTGTTGTTGCATTATTTAAAATTAACGCCCATTAACATTAATAAGAAAAATTTTGAAAACAAAAAATAAAATAATTTTATTTTTTTTCTTCATTTCATTTAGACAAAGCCGAGCCGGATGAAGATCCTGAAGTAACTCGAGCTAAATATTTTATCCGCGATGAATTTCTGGTAACAAAAAAAAACATTAATTAAATAAATTAATTTTTTATATGGGAAATTCGTTTATATTTAGCGAGTCAGCACGGCTACCGGTGAAAATCGTCATTATTGTTATCCGCATTTTACATGTGCGGTTGATACAGAAAATATTCGTCGAGTATTCAATGATTGTCGCGACATCATTCAACGTATGCACTT